GGGTTGGAACCCTGAACTGTGGGGGTTTAGTATACTATAGGTAGAAGGCGCTATAAGGGAACACTGCTGCTGTTGCTGCTGCTGCTACTACTACTGCTACTACTACTACTACTACTACTACTACTCCTACTGCCACTGCTACTACTACTACTACTGCTATTACTACTACCACCACCACTAGTAGTAGTAGTACCAGTGCTAGTACTAGTTCTAGTGCTAGTTCTCGTATTAGTACTTTTGCTCCTACTACTGCTGCTGCTGCTGCTGCTGCCACTGTTGCTGCTGCAACTCCTGCTCCTCCCCCTCTCCTCCTCCTGCGACTGCTGGGGCGACGACGACTACGACTGTGTCTACTCCTATGTATTCCTCTGCCTTCGACGCCGACTCCTACTGCTGCTGCTTCTACTGCTGCTACTACGACGACAACTGCTGCTATGCACGACCACTACCTTCTCCACCACTACCACTGCCTGCTCGCCTGCGTGCATACATGCGAATGCTATGTATGTATGCATGTATGCAATGTATGTATTGTATGTATGTATGTATGTATGTATGTATGTATGTACGTATGTATGCATGCATGCATGGATGGATGTATGTATGTAGTATGTATGTATGTATGTATGCATGCATGCATGTGTGTATGTATGTATGTATGTATGTATGTATGTATGTGTGATCAAGGATGCACATAGATATGCATGTACGTATGTATGTTCCCAAGCATCGAGATGAGCGCAGCGGCATGGAGTTTTGCAAGCACGAAGCCGTGTTCCAGAAAAGTCTGCTAGTCGGCAATTACAAATAACATTCATACTGATATTAGTTAATATTAGGAGTCATACTAATAATACTCATAGTAATATTAAAAGGGTCTTGGGTCTAGTCTAGTAGAATGTCTGTCCTGGCCAGGCGGGTGCGATCAGAGTCCCGGGCACAGAGTAATCCCAGCTGTGAGCCGATAGATTGAGTTCCTCAAAGTATGATCCCCAATTTCGAGACCACCAGTGAAATCCGCTCCGAGGTCTGATGCCCAAAAGCGGCCGGCCGCAGTGCACTCTCAGGCAGTCCTGACAGCTAGGATCAGAGATGATGAAGCATCTGCGAGAAAGTAAGAAGGCCCATGCGGAGGACCCCAAAACACAAGAAACCATGAAGCACTATCCTCAAGGCCAACGGGCAAAGGCGGAATTGGATTAGGGAATTCTCTGATAGATGCAACAACCCATACGTACCAGGCCCACATGCGAGATTCGGTGGACGAGTCGAGTTTGGAGGTGGACTGCCCAGGAGGCGGGATGTTGAAAGAGTTGCCCAAGGCAGTGACCCTACTTTAGAGAACTGCCCTTTTAGAGCCCTTATAATACCCTTATAGAAACCCTTAGAGATCCCTTTAAGGAGCCCTAAAAGGGACCCTCCCAGCAGCTTCCGGATCTCTTGTGGCAGGTTTACAGCTTGTGGCATCTCTGGGAGCTCTAAGTCTTATATAAATGTTATATATAATATAATATGCTATAATATAATATAATATAATAACATACATACATATATATATATATATGTATGTATGTATGTGTATGGTTATAGAGAATCTGAGGATCATGTTGGCATTGGCACCTTGTCGACTCGTAGTGACCTCGCTGAGCTGTCTCAGAAGGGTCTTTGTATCTATGAATGTACCTTCGCAGGCATATATTCTTGTCTAGTTGCTCGTCAGTTAATTATTTTCACTAACAGTATTTAATGCCTGTTTGTGTATATCTCTGTCTCCCTCTCCCTCTGTCAACGAGACTACTTGTCAGTATGCTTGTCTCTTTGCCTGCCTGCCGGTGTCTCTGTCTTGCTCTTCCTCTCCCCGATGCTCTTAGACTAGGCGTTTTCCTGTCTGTCGGCCTGTTCGAAACCCGCTCAAGGCAGGTTCCTAGGCTTGATGAGGAGCCGTCGTTTCCGAGCGACAACTGCGGCAATTAGATCGCATGCCTGGTTCAACCGGCGGACAGAACTACGGAAGGATGCGCTACTTCGCTTTTCAGTCGATCTTGATATCCCTATTCCTTGGCTTTGGCCTGCGATTCCAGAAGCCTTGCGTCTGATTACGCTGAGAAGCAAGCGAGTGTAGAGATGTGACACAGACCGATGGAGTTGGCGAATCGAGTTTTGGAAGCCGGTCATCTGCGGAAGCCCATCCCGACCGGATCTTTTCCCTTGGCGCGAGGCCCCTACACCTGCTTCATTTGTACAGAGGCGCAAGCTCGATCTCCTCTTTGCATGTCTTGGGCTTGGGGTTGAGACATGTTGAGACAGGGGAGCGGCAGGGTTGTGCTGGGATTGCTGAGCAAGGAGCTCCTTCCTCGTATGTGTCCTTGTCGGTTTAATCGATGTCGGCACCGCAGGCCAAAGATGCTTCAGAGCGATTTCTTCCGCACAGGTCCGGGACTCGTTCTCTAAGGTGCTGCTGCTCTCTGCTGCCAGCCTGTAGACTGGGTTCGGCCGTGACAGTTCCGTTCTGTCCTAGTCATAGCAGATTAATATCGTTCTTGCAAAAGATAGTTGCTCCAGTAGGCGAGCTTCTTTTCTGAATGCCATGTGTGCCTGTCAATTTTGCTTTAAACCGCGGGCCTTCCTGTTCAATTCAACGGATCGTAGATTCATCTCCACTCCTGATGCCTGATGCTTATTTAGATGCTCGACTACTCCACAAGTATACCCAGCTTGCAGCGGCAGCAAATGCCTTCGTGGTGCCCCGGTTCCAAGAAGCCGACGATGGCAGACTCTGGCTCAGAACGGAATAGTTTGGTGTGTACAGACGTATGATTGTCTGATTTATGGTTTTACACTATGTCTGCTACAACAGAGATTGCATTCGCACTCCCCCTAAACCCGCGCAGCCAGCGATTCATGTCAACTAAGAGCCCCCCAAAATGGGCCCCAGATCACTACATTCGAAAAGCAAGCTGCGGCGGTTGAGGGCAGACTCCGGAGGGTTAGCTCTGCTGCCCCATATTGCAATCCCAATATCACGAGCAGAACACATTCTATCTTGTTGTGCTTTCTCGTGCAATTCACATATTCATAAGTATGCTGTCAATATACCCTAAACCCGTAAACCCTAAAACCCCTAAGCCCGAAACCCTAAACCCTAAACCCCAACATACATAGAAGCTTTGGACTTCAGGTGCCCCGAGATGCCCGAGTCGCTGTGTTGCAAGCCCTGTTTCGTCGCTTGGGCAGCTGCCCCTGAGCAGTGTTTTTGGGGTTTAGGGTTTAGGGCAGTGTTATCGGATACGGGGTTTAACTAGGGCGCAACTCAGTTTGGACCTAGTTACTTCTTGGCTATCGGTCGTGTCCAACATGAGAGCCCTGATGCACAGTAGAAGTCATGCCCGGGCCCTGCCTACCAGGGTATCTATTGGGAACGGATTAGACAGACTTGAATCCATCGACTTTTCTGATGCATGTGGCCTTTGAGAGCAGGATCTGTAAAATTGGCGGTTGTAGGTAGTGGCCTTTGTTATTCCACACTCCAGAGTTCTGAGTGCTCGCTTGTAAGAGTGCTGCTTTTCCAGTCCTCAGCTATTTCACAATTTTTTCACGAGTTGTCACTGGGTTTTTGTGACGGTTACTTTAGCAAAGGGCAAACAAACAGTACCAGACAGACTGAGCTGCTGAACTCTGCAGGATAGCCTTCGGGCCTCAATCTTAAATGTGCCCCATGAGTCGAGACTATTTCCTACTGTGCATGATGGACCGCAATCGGCAAAGTCACGTACCGCGTGTCTGATATGGCAACCAATCTTCGTGGGAGGAGTGACTCAGTAGGCTCAGTAGACCATAGCAGACATTACCACACTCCAGGCACCGTACGGGTCGCAATGCTAAAGTGAGGCAAGAGACAAAGGACCTAGTGCAGCATAGAGACTGTCCTTTGCATATGCCTGTGAAGACTGCTACAGTAGCAGATCTACACGAACACTGTGAAGACTGCTACAGCCGCATATCAGCAAGAGTTGCAAAATGTTCACAGGCAAACATGGCAGCAGTACGGTGATGGAATATTTCACCGCATAGAATCTACAAGTGCAAATTGATATTCACAATCCTCAGGCCGTATGCAGTTGCGGCCATGGTGGCGAAAGGAATTGAACACAGCATAAATATGTCAACCTCAGTTTGCGGCAACATCACGAATTACAGCAATGAGGCTGTTGCCGTGCGACTAAATACCCGCTACCGCCCGCAACCATGGCTGCCGCCAATGAGTACAAGAAGAAAATAGAAGTTATCACCCTCCAGTCACCATGCCAAGGCTGCCAACTGCCATAAAGCACAAAATGCAAGATGTGTCACTTCGGATTATACGCTGTTGCACATTTATCTTCTATGTATATACACACACACACACACACGCACGGAGACATGAAGTCACCCTTGTTGCCTATGTGTCCAGCCGCATCTGCTCGCGGGGTTTGCACCGGTCGAGGATATTCTAGATACTTTAGGTGGTCTCAGATCTTGTTTCCCAGGTCGAGTCTCAGATTGATGCCGACTCTCCGAACATCAAGTGCTGCCACTGCGACACGGAGACTCCTGTCACTGGGAAACGACATGGTTGCAAGGCATCTCTTTGCGATGACGAGTGACACTCAATCATCACCATCATGATGTCCAGCATCGTTTCCACCATGGTTTGATCAGCAAAAGCATCAACAGCGACAGCAGCAAAAGCACCAGCACCAACATGAGCAGCGTCAGCAGCAACAACAACAACAATAACAACATCAACAGAAGTGCCTCTTCTTAATAGACGCTTGTGCGGCGACTCCCCGAAAATGGAGACTTTCGATCATTGCAGGAGCTTTCCAACCGGACCCTGCAGTATCTCGTGGACGCCGCCCACTGGCAAAGGCACGGAACTGGACTGCCCCGATAGCGTCGCACACCTGCACTGAAGTCATGAACGCGTGACTCCGAGTCTTTTACGGGGCTACAAACGTATGTCGCGGTTGTTCTGGACTAAGTTTCAAGTTTCTCGCAGCCATTTTTACGACATCCGTTTACTTTGTGGATCCCTTGAACAGGACCAGAAGTTACAGAATTGCCCAGTTGTGGTGCTGGAGACTGCATGAGCTGAACACGTTGAAGGTATTGCGACTCTGCCCTGCAGCGTTCACTGAAGCGGGATGCCAATTTCATTTGGTGCTCCAAGTGCTGTGCTGAGTTCGGATGCATTTTGCTTGGCGCCTTTCATCACCTGACGGCAGCTGGCAATGTGAAGACTGGGGGACTCGTGCAGTGGGACTGGATGGGACTGGTATGATCTGGCCGCTGTGGCCACCGGAAAGTGTCAAAGAAGTGTCCTGAGGTGCGGAGGTGGCGGATGGGTGGATCCAACGACACTTGCCGGCAAAGATCATCAAGTCAAACCACTCATCTGGTACGCGCATCGCTCATGACAGGACCGACCATTCCGAGTCCACACCGCAAGAGCGCACAAGACGGATCCTGAACCCCAAAGACGTAGCAGGAACTGGACATATGTAGTACGTAAATGTGCTCCGAGGCAGCCGACATCGAAGTGCGGCTGGAACTGCCCTTTGCATCTCGGATCAACAGGAGACTCGAGGAACCTTTAAAGGTACAGCTCCGGCAGTTACCGTTACTACCAAGCTCTTGAGATTCGAGCAAGGCACAGTGCCACTCTGCAGTTCAACCGAAGCATCGATGAAGAAGCTGTTCCGACAAAGTGAGGTGCGACAACAGCTTCGTTTACTGTCCCCTGTGTCGCAGGCCGCCGGTATCACTGTCCCCTCAAGCTTTGCATGAATGTTCCTATCATCATCGCTTGTCATCAACATGTTGATGTAACACCGTCACAATTGCAATGACGTTGACATGCTACTTGCAGCTGGCTTTCTTGATTGTGCTTGGCCCGAGCACCCGAGCAAGTTGGTACACACATGACTGATGGCAACTCGCAAAGCTGTGCCAGGAATGCCAGAAATGGGGTCCATCACGGTCGGCTTACTGTCGTAGTACAAGCATGTTGCGATTATTGATTCCATCTATCACAGTATATTCGCGACGATTGTAGCGTTGTCGTGACTTGTTCTGCTCGAATTGCAAGAATGAGTCTTGAGTGGCCCTCCTGGATGATGGTGGTAGAGACAATGCTTGTCGCCTTCAATGATAATGATGACCTCGGCTGAGATGAATGTGCTGGTGATGATGCAGGGATCACGGCAGCGTAAGCTGCAAGCGCTTCCACAAGCTCCGAAAGGAGGCCCGGATCTCTGTCACTTCTTAGCACTGCTTTCACTTGCAATCATAGTACTAGCGATGAGAGGAGACAGGATCATAACTTGGTAGCAGGGATGTCGACTATGGTGCTAAACGTTCGCAGCAAAGCATCACTAGACTAGCAGGCAACGTTGTAGAGCGGATTAGATTCCGCCTGGATGCCGACCTTAACAACTGTAACAACCATGATGAGGACACCACATTTTCTAGCGGCAGCAGCAGGAGCTGTCGTCGTAGCAGTAGTTGGAAGTCGCATCCGCCGTCGTCGTCGTCGTAGTAGTAGGAGTAAGTTGAACATTGTAGTGATAGCACCAGTGCTGGGAGTGGCAGTAGTAGTCGTAGTAGCAGTAGCAGCAGCAGCAGCAGCAGGAGTAGTAATAGTAATACTGGTAGTAGTAGAAGTTGTTGTTGTTGTTGTTGGTGGTGGCTAGTGGTGGTAGTAGTGGTGGTAGTAGTACTGATGGTGGTGGTAGTGGTAGCAGCAAGGGTAGTGGTAGTAGTGGTGGTGGTAGTAGTCTAGCAGAGGTTGTAGTATTGTAGTAGAGTCGTCGTAGTCGTAGTAGTAGTAGTCGTCGTCGTAGTAGTGGTAGTAGTAGTAGTAGTAGTAGTAGCAGAAGTAGTAGTAGGAGTAGCAGTAGCAGTGGCAGTGGCAGTAGCAGTAGCAGTCGCAGTCGCAGTAGCGGTAGCAGTAGCAGTCGCAGTCGCAGTCGCAGTCAGTAGCAGTAGCAGTAGTAGTAGTAGTAGTAGTAGTAGTAGTGGTGGTAGTGGTAGTGGTAGTGGTAGTAGTAGTAGTAGTTGTTGTTGTTGTTGTTGTAGTCTCATCGTCAACATACAGCCAACAGCAGCAGCAAGTCGAACGCTGACAAGACACAATCATTTTTTGAGGAAGCTTCACTAGCGCACAGCCTCGTCCCACCCATTTCGACCAACTCCTGCTCAATCACAGGTCGTTCTGGGAAAGCAGCAGGCGCAGGATCGAGACTCCGCTGCCGCGGCCTTGGCCGTTTACAGTTCCGGTGCTGCATGTGCTACGGGGATTTGCTTTTTCGGGATGCTTCAATGGCTATAGACGAAACTCGTGCATTCGTTGAAGCGCAACTGACGCACTAAATACACGGTTATCAGTTGGCTGCACGCAGCACCTTTCAGATAGTGGCCGTGCCCGTGGAGAACATGCTTGTTAGTTGCGATTTGAGGGCACCCCTCTCCCCGATGCATGCAATCCGACATCCTGCAGCTCTCTGGTGCGGAGGGTGTGGTCCAGCGGAGCTCCAAGAGTTGCCCCTCATGCCCTGCCCTTAGCTCCTTCGGCGCTCAAGAGCGATGTCGGATGCCGGCTGCATCGCAGCCGTGCATGAATTTGCATTAATTTGTATAGATAAGTATATATATATATATATATCATACATACACACGTATGCATGTGCGTATGTGTATGTATGTGTATATGTATGTGTACATGCATGTGTATGTACGTGTATGTATGTGCATGTATGTGTATGCAAGTGTATGTATGTGTATGTATGTGTATGTATGTATGTATGTCTAAAATGTATACACAGACATATGTATATAGCTTATATATGCATACACATATACACACATAATTACACCTTGTTTTATTTAGTCATCTATGACTTTGCCTATTCGTACATGTACCTATGTATGTTGTATGGATGCATGTACATCTGCATAGCCATGACTGCTTGTACACGCGCATATATACAACTGGCTGAAAGCCGAAGGGGCTTACACCCATGCGGGAACATGTGTATAACATCTATACACACCATTCCATGTTATGCTGTACCACAACGTGCCGCGCCATGCCATACCATGCCAAGCCCCCTACTCCATGCCTTTCCATGCCATTCCATGTCAGGCCATTCCAAGAAGTATATTTGTGTATGGACGGAAGGATCGATGGATGGATACCTCTACTTTTGTGTCTGGGTACGTTTGGTATGTGTGCTATATGGATATGTGTTGGCGGGTACGGTATACATGAAAACTTTGGTATGGTGCTTGCTTGCTTGCTTGCTTACATGTTTTTCCATTCAGCCACTTAATCGCTCGCTCGCTCGCTAAAATACTTGTATGCACACACGTGTCTGTCTGCCTGTGCGTCTGCATGTATGTATGTATACGCTCATATACATATACATATACATATACATATGTACATACATCCATCCATCCATCCATACATCGATACATACATACATACGTACATACATACATACATACATACATATAAACATATAAACATATTATATATAAACAGTATATATATATATGTATATTTATATTTATCTTTATTTTTATTATATATACATATATATATGTATATACACGGACGCTTTGCAAGTGTGTGTGCAGGTGGTAGGTCTCTTTGTGTGTGTGCTCAGGGCAGGTCTCTTGCGAAGAAATGCACGTAAAGGATGAATAAGATTTGCTCCGGAGCTGCTGACACAGCTCCATTGCGCGCGCTTGCGATTTAGTGTTTCGGACCGGATTTGTTGCATGATGGCATCCACATGAAAAGTGTCAGGCCATGCCCATGGTTGAGATTGGAGAATATAGTAATAATATTAATAGTAAGAGTAGTAATAATAATAACAATAATTGTAATAGCACTTGCTTTCTCGTGTCTCCCTCAGGACGTTTGCCTATTACTGGGGGCCTGCCTCCTGAGGTAAGATGCCCATCCAAAAGGCGGAACCCTCAGAGCTTCCGGGCTTCCAGTGCCTGCCACCGCTGCTACTGTGGTTTCTCTGCTCCTTCTACAGTTAGTATGTTTGCAACCCACAGATGAGGGGGTGTGATCCGACTAGTTTAAAGTTTAAATACAAATGAAGCTCCACCAACATTCAATCGTTTGGAAAGCCGCCTAAGCCACAACCTGAAATACAGTTCAAACAAATCTCGCCGAAAATTTCAGGAAGCTCAATGTTTCTATCACAACTCAAAAACCCTCAACACTCAAATCAAAGTCAACAGCCACACAGAATCGTAAGCATCAGAAGGAAGTCACGAAGGATTCAAAACGACTCATTGAACCAAGTCTTAAGCAGCTGAAGCTTGAAGAAAGCCTGCCCCAAAAGGCTCCAAAAGCTTGCTCCAACCGTCTTTTTGTGTGTGTTTGAGAATGTTTGAGTTTTTGTTTCACTTTTATTTTCTAGGTGTTTGAATGTAGTTTGAGTTGTTCGTGAGTTTTGGCACGCCGAGTGCGCGTCGTTTTTGAGTTGTTTCCCTATTTTATGTTGAGTGTCTTCTGAGTCCCGTTTTGGAGCCGGCATTCGTGTTGAGTTTTTGGCCGAGGAGTTTTATCGGAGTTAAAGCCTTATGTGTGGGCCAGAGAGGCTGGGGCGGCCAACTACCGATTTTGTTACATAGCGACGTCCGCAATAAGTGATATTAGGTGTCTATCAACTTCGCTTGCAGTGCAACAAAGCTATGTTGCTTTCGAGATGGTCTGAAAGATCGAGCCGTGTTTCGTACTCATGGTTGGCTGCTTCATCTGGTCTTCTTACGGCTACTGTATCATTACAATCACGGTGGCTCGTGGTGAGTCCCGACTGGTGTTCGCACAGGATGGTGGTTGCAATTACATGGACTGCCCCAACTGCCGTCGCCACTTCTGCTGGAGTTGCGGCCTGCGCCCTGGCATTCCCTGTTGACTGTTGTTCGAGTGCTGCAAAAAGAAGCCCGTAAGCCTGAAGGAGCACTACAACGTTTGCACCGGAAGGGGTCGAGCAGCTTTGCACTTGTCACTCCCCTGGACCTAGCTGCATACGGCTGTGTCGGAACACTTCTGGACTTCTCAGCTATTTAACCAGTCCAGGGCGTAGTTGCTCTCTGCAGGCCAGATCATGAAGTCCTCTCACCAGGTGCCGAAAGGGTCTTAGTGGGTCTCAGTCAGCAGAACTCTGCCTTGTCATTTGTTCAGCAGCTCAGCCTCCGTTTTTGGACATGTCTTATCCACTTTTTTATTGGCTTTCGTGTTGCCTCCCAGCGGATTCCTTCATCGCTCATCATGTCTGCTGCTGAACCCTTGGCAGAAGCACAAATGCGATGCTGGGTTCGAAGCTTCAGGAGTGCCGGCCTTAGCAACAAAAGCAGGCGCGAACATGGCGCGCCCCGCGCGCGCGCGAGTGTCTGTGTCTGTGCGTGCGTGTGTGCGTGTGCGTCAGTATGTATTTGGGTGTGAGAGCCTTTCACTGTTTCAGGCTTGAAGACTAGAATTTTGGCAAGGGCAGTGTGATCCATGAGCAGCACGCTCTGCATTGTGCACGACATGCGATGATGGTTTGGAACTGTTCCCGCAGAGGTTGTTGGCAAGACCACCCAGGGCCGTCCCTGCGTTGAGTTGACGAGGCAGGATATTGATCTGCGCTTGGAGGTTAGGCCAGTCGGGGCTGAGGGTCGTGGACTCGATGCGATGCTGGTTGACAGGCTCTTCATGAATGTCATCGACATTGATTCTGTTGAGGTCATGAACGTCGCCAGTTGCTCAGCACCCTGGAACTCGAACGCAAATGCTGCGGCAGCTGGGTACCAGCTGTACACTCTCGCGATCCTCTGCGTGACATTTCCGAAACTGCTTCTTTGTGTCCTCGTGCTCAGGATGATGATGATGTCCAGGACTGCAAGGACATGCTCGTGCCTAGCGCAGATCAGGAGGTGGGCTCCTTGCAGACAACTTCGGCACGACTGCCGCTCAACACGGCCACAGTGAATAGCAATCCGGTTACAGTAGTATTCTTTATACTATAAAGAGCTGGCGATGATTTTGACATGCCACCTTGCATTCTTCGAATCGAAGCTTTTTCTCAGACGTTACTCTGGTCCGAAGAGTCGTCAGGTTGAGAGGTTCGCTTAGTATGAAATCACAGACCAAACCGAGTAAAGCTAAGCCAGTTTTCCGGGATCAGAGCTCTTTAGATTAGACCCTCTTTGACAGATCAGATCCAACAGAAGACTCTTTCGACCTCTAGACCCAGTCCAAATTCAACAGAAGATGCCATCTAGCCTTTATAACCCTGTCTCACGGAAAACCCTTTGCTCTCTCACTCTCTCTCTCTCTCTCTCTCTCTCCCTCTCTCTCTCTCTCGCCCTCTCTCTCTAAGTCTCTCTCTGTCTCTCTCTCCCCCTCTCTCTGTCTCTCGCGCTATCTAGCTACTTGGATGTAGGTATCTCTCTCTCTGTTTGTCTGTCTGTCTGTCTGCTAGTTTCCCAGTAGTAGTCTTGTGTCCTGATTATTTTGGATTTCCGTATCAAAACCGAGCGAACCGGGAAAAGGCGACCCTTGTTCTTGCAGGGACACTGGGAAAGGCTGTCTGTCTCTCGGTTTATCGACCTATACATATACATCGGTCAGCAAGGTGTGTGTGTGTGTGTCTTTTTGTATGCATTGTATCACGTTGCACAGATATACCGATATGCTGTATCTTTCATTGATAATTGTTTGCATCGTGGGTATCTGAATGATTTAGGAGTCCTTGCGATAAGCATTGTAACTACTACTTGCGGTCCTTCTGGTAAGGATCCTCCGAATTGCAACTTCAAGCCCTAAAGCCTAAATCGCAGGGCATCATTTTGTCTCACCTTGGGGCGGCCTTGTAGGCGAAGTCTCCGCTCTTCGTTGGACCGAGCCAGATGGATGGCGAGATCTTGTTGAGGTTCTCCGAGCCCTCAACCCTCGAGTTCTCCCGAGGTTTTCGTGGGTCTATGTAGCTATGAGGGCTCTGTAGAGGTTTATATAAGGGTTCTGTGAAGGTTTGATAAGCAGTCTTAAAAGGGTGTAGGGTTCCCGGGTTTTGGGGCAGTGGTGGATTTCTGTCTCTCGCAGCAAGGGGCTTTGGATCTAGCCTGTGTGATGCGGGTGATGTAGGTGTAGAGGTGCAGCCCCGCTAAACCTCAACCCAAAAAATTCCCCGGCCACCTGCAGATCTGCTTTGCATATTCTGCCAGCTAAGGATGCCGACTCGGCCCCACCAGTGACAGTCCAGAACCCCTGAGAAGAAGCAGCATCAACAGACATGACTCTATCAACAGTGGTCAGAGCAACCTTTGCAAGAGCATACAAGAGTCCGAGTACCTTCCGGTGCAAAGTTGAGCCCAGCAGGCTTTGTCGGCAGAAGCTCCGAGCTTCGTGTTAGCAGTGGTCGGTGCATCGCAGTGGCTGTCACGGCTGCTCGTCGTAGTGCAGTGCATGAACCACAACCGGCGTAACGCAGAAAAGCTTGAGACTCCCTAGGCCCCACCTGGACCCCAAGAGTATGTAAAATGATAGCCTTTTGTGGGTCTTGGGCCATTATTTTACCGACTTTTGGGGGTTTAGCTAGGTCCCACATTTCGGGAGGTGTGTGCCGAGGGTTACTAGGGGATATCAGAAGAAAGAGTTGAAAGCAAGCCTTCTGCGCAGGTTGCCTTTCAACTTTACCAGCGCCATCTCTTGGGAAGTGCCGATTCCTTAGAGCTGTCCTCGCACCATGTTCAAACAAGGATACTTCTTGAAGGGGTAGAGGATGTAGGGCTTGGTTCGACGTGTATCTTTGCTGCAAGGACCCATATCCATGTGCGGGCCACACACCCGCCAGCACCGAACTGCTGTCGACCCAAATCGCTGGGGTCCGTGACTCATTTCCTTGGCAGGGTGTCGTGCAATCGTTGTTTCATGCGGATCGTAGATTCGGTCGCAGGTCACAAACTAGCCGTGGTGTTCACATAATTTGGAGGCATGTACATGCTTTTGGAAAGCTTTGTCGTAGTCTCAAGGTTTGTGATTTGCTGATCACGACTTCGACAGAATCACTGGCGAGGACAGTACAGAGCATTTTGTGAATTCATCTAACGCTTCTGCAAGCTTCCAGAAAAGCTGCGTTTACGGCAGGTAGTAGTGCGGCGGAATGCAAAGAAGTCGGTTGTGATGATTGCATCATCTAATTTATGGCATGTGTGGCGGTATGAGTTTGTGACATTTATATTCGCGGTGTGCTGCGGTCATGTCTGTGACACTGTGGCAAAATGTACTGCAATGCGCTGCTGTGGCAGTATGTAGATGTAGCTTCAGAATCACTTTCTAAAGACAGTGCATGACAGAGAAACAGAGAGAGAGAGAGAGAGAGAGAGAGAGAGAGCGAGTATGAGTGCGTGTTTATGGGTAGATAACAAGTACGCCTAAAGCCCCAAAGGCTAAGGCGTGCCGTTCGCCACTCGGCGTTAAGAATGCACCTTCGAACGCCGCCAGAGAGAGACAACAGGTACATGCAAAGAGTGATAGACAGATCGGAAGATAGCTCTCCAAGCAGGATACGATGGTCGATAGTAGGTTGTGAATCAAGCATTCGATTCGGCAGAGTCTTTGTGCATAGTTAATGGGTGCCTCGTTTCTAGTGTCAGGATCGTGGACGCCAGAGCAGCAAGACAATCGCAGACACAACCTGCCACACGTCAAGCTCAGTCAAAACCTGGCTCGTTTGCGGGTTCTGGCGAGCTAGCATGAGCCAGCAGTTCCGGATCGTTCTTACCCTGACCGACCCTTTTGAAAGGATCTGAACCATGCAGGCAGCTGATGGCTAGTACCCGATTGTAGGTTGGTAGCTGAGAGGCTGCTGGCAAATTCGCCGAGCGCCACTTTCAGCGACTTCGATGACAGCACCGCGGTCACTGTAAATTTGGAGGCACGCTGTCGCTGAAGCCTGAAGTGTCCGACTGCGAGCCTTAAGCGGCAGCAACAGCACATCCACCTCTAGCACAAACACGTCGTACTATGCAATGTAGCCATGGTACTAGGTTAATTACTAGAGCTCTTGCATGCATATCTCTGTGTGTGTGTGCGTGTATGTATTTAAATATGTATATGCGTCCGTACTGGCATGTGGCTGCTTGAAGGGCGAGCATCCAGCGCTACATGGAAACGTCTAGTGTCATGTGCATGATAGATCTTCTTTCTTCCTATGACAAAAATTATGGAATATGTTGGTACACGTGTCGTGACATGCCTATACATAATATATAACAACCAACCAAGTTCACATTACAATGACGCAATTTCACATATGCAAACGCGTAAACATGAATTTAAGTGCACATGAAAATGTAGTTGCCATTATAAACTATACATGTAGTTGCAAATAAACATTCGTGCGTCAGACTTCCATCCATGCATACATGCATACATCCACACAGGCATACATGCGCACATGCGTACAGTGCGTACATGCATGAATGCCTACATGCGTACATGCGTACATATACTACATACATACATACAGACACACAGACACACACACACACATACATACATACGTACATGCATACAGGCATACATGCATACATGCATACATGCATACATGCATACATACATACATGCATACATACATACATACATACATACATAAATACATACGTACATACATATACATACATTACATACATACATGACATGCATACATTCATACATACATACATACATACATACATATATGTTAAAATGTATACATGCATATCTGCATATACATATACATGTGTGTACATACATATGTGTATATGTATATATATATATACATATATATATATATACATGCATGTATGTGTGACGTTTTGCTGTGAAACGAGAGTAGGAACCTAGCACACCGTACTCGTAGCTCACAACAAATCACGATACCCTTCACAGGGCAACGGCAGGTCTGACCGAAGACTATGCAACTCAAGAGTCCCCACAAAAGTCTTAGTTTCTAAATCCCAAGCTAGATTGAGGTTCTTGATGTATTCGCATGCCGAAGCATGCTAGTTTCAAAAGGAAGGACACGACAGGTTGGCTCTACTTTAAGTTTCCAGCGTGGTCTTCCTAAGCGCTACGAGGGTGGGTGCCGCTGCAAACTGCCAACCTTGAACATGAACCCAAAGTTCACACATCCAACCCCACAGGATATGGGTAATGGCGTCTTTCGAGCTTCACTGGAGCCATTTCGCACAAAAGGCCGCCCGCGTTTTGCGAGGATCGAGAGAGTTGGGGCCTGAATTTGTTTTTCTCCTTGCGCTGGAGCATGTGTAGGATGCTAGCAGTCCAACATGTTTTTCTCAGACATGTCCCAATGTCCTTGATTTTGTCAACCTTGTGGAGACGCAACATGTGACAGGCACCTTCAAGCGAATCACGTGCCTTGCCGTCAAGGTGTGTGCGGCACCTCGGCTCCGATAAGCAAGGTACAGGAAGGAGAAATACTGAAAACAAGACCTCTCCAGCAAGTCAATGACAACATCAGACACACCAGCAGTAGCACTAGTACGACTAGGTTTACGGCGACCCAATCGAAACTGTTGACAACCAAGCCGACGACTACTAACACTCTTACTGCAACTGCAGCTGCTACTACTACGAGACTACGGTTACTGCGGCGACGACGACGACGACCCGCTGCTGCTGCAGCTGTTGCTACTGCTGCTGCCACTGCTAGTGCTGCTGCTGCTACTGCTATTGCTGCTCCTGCCGCTGCTGCTGCTCCAGGGCTACGGCGACTTCTACTTTTGCTACTACTTGTACTGCTACTGCTACTGGTACTGCCTCCTGCTACTGTTTCACGACGACGACACGGCTATACTGCTACTGCTACCGCTACTACTGCTTCTACTACAACAACTACTGCAACAACAACTGCTACGACTACTACAACCTACTATTACTACGACGGCTACTGCTGCTGCTGCTGCTACTACGACGACGACTACTACTACTGCTCCCACCTGCAGCTGTAGCCGTCAGCTGCCACTTCTACGCCCGTTGCTTCCTCAACTCTTTCTTGTGCTGTTGCTGCTCTTGCTATTTATTTGTTGTGCTACTACCAGTCGATCAAGCACGCTGGCATTCTAGAAGCGGCCGCGCTTTACACAGGCCGTGTCATTCTGCAGAACCATTGACTACACCGACCACACTGTTGCTTGCTGAGACGACAAACTTTCTGTGTCTTTTGGCCGGCACGATGATATCTCATGCCGCCAAGGTGAACCTTTTTGGTGTCAGCAGCAAAAGTCAATACTTTGTCTTTTTCGCATTGGCATGAATTGCTGCCAGCATCGCCCTTCCCACCTCGCGGTTCCCGCCATGCGTGTCGTAGCTGTGCATGTCATCCCAAACGGTTTGAGAATTCGAGCATCATTGATGTTTTAATATTTTGGTCAAACTTACGAGTTTGCGGACCCAAATTTGCTGTTGTTGCTACTCTTACAGACTCTCACTGTCCACTGGTGCAACGAAAACTGCTGCTGTTCCTGCTACCATGCGCAGCACGAAGATCCCTTCGCCTGGAAGCGTTGGCACATTGCTAAGGCAGCTGCCGGGGAGCACGAGGATCAGCTTCAAGGCTCTGGCTCTTGCCATCGCTACTGCTACAACAACAACAACAACTACTACTACTACTACTACTACTACTTGCACTCCTACTCCTACTTGCACTCCTGCTGCTGCTGCTGCTGCTAGTTCTGTTTCTACTACTTCTTCTACTTCTACTACCACTACCTCGACTTCTTCGACTGTGCAGAGATACCTGTGCCAAGGCTGAGACCCATCCGAATCTATCAATATTTTGCCATATCTCAGCCCACAGGTTCATGACAGTCTCCGGGCAGAGGTTTGTAACCCGAAGACACAAACTGCGAAAGTGCCCCTTCTCAGTAGTCAGAGCATGTTAGACCGAACGGCTTAGTCTGACAGAGCTAAAATTCCCGGCATAACTGTATTCCACAGCTTCTCCTGCCAGTCTTTTTCAACGGCCTCTCAGTGTTCGGCGTGCCCGGAGATGTTGCAGCGAGCTCGCGTAGGACCTTTTGCAGGTCTTGGGTCTCGAGATCACGTCTTCGGGGGTCGGGGGGTCCTGCTGGATATGACGTTAGCTTTTTAGATTTTTTGCCTTTACGACAGCTTCTGAATCTCAAGATGGAAGGCCGATCTCATGCTCACGGTTTGCGCTGACGGAAGAAGTGACAGGTTCCATGCTGATACCGAGCTTGGCTATAGGACAGTATCGGAAAGGGTTGGTGACTTTGGATCGTTCGCAAAGCGTGCCGGTCGCCAAGTTCCGGTATGGTGTCCGCACAGCACGACTGGTCTCGAGCATTCTTCAGGATCCGCTGTAGAGGGTTTGCCACTGCGTCAAGATCATCTGCAAACTGTTGCGCGGCCGAAACCGCTTTTGGCTCATTGGGGGTGGGAAAAAAAGATCCCCCTCCTTTGGTGCTCAGCCCGGAGGGGGAGACAAAGATGCCAGCATCTTGGTTTCTGTCCGAAGCATCACCACTGCACAACTTCATTCACCTCGCCAGAATCCCGCTCTTGGAATGGTCTGAGTCCTAAACCCTAAACCCCTAAGCATCCTACACTCTAAGCCCTAAACCCCTAAGCCCAAAACCCTACACCCTGAACCCCAAAACCCTAACCCTAAACCCCAAATCCGCTAAGGCCACCAAAGAAACAGGATGCACCGCCTCTGCCGGAGGCACGAACTTATCAAATGGAAGGGCCCTTGGAAAACACATGGATGGGATTAGGGTGAAGGATTTGGGGGTTTTAGGGTTTAGGAGTTTAGGATGAGGTATGGTGTCTTCCAGCTTTGTCGCTTTGCACCAGGTGGAGGAAGAAGTGGCTTTGCCGGAGGACCTTTCCGCTCAGGGGGGACCTCTTCTTGCCTTGTTTCAGGATGTTTCAGGTGATGTGCGTGCGGGTGCGTTTGCATGTTTGTTTTGTGTGTTCGTGTCTTCGCTAGCGTGCATTTGTTTTTCTTGGCATTGTGTTGTCGCCTGTTGGTCATCGTTTGCAGCCTGTTGAGACCTGCAAATCAAGCAGCTCTACATATTAATGCAGTCACTCTGCAAGTCACCCCAGCTGGCGCAGCCCGGTTCGGAGGCAAGCACTGTGCGGAAGGTGGTTAAAGAAGCATCGCATTGCACGTGCAGATTGGGGAAGGCTTCCTGCTACTCAAGTTTTGGAGAGCCTCGGCATGTCCCGAAGCCCGTCTGATACCCAAGAGATCTCAGCCAGGAGGTCAGCGGTGGTCTCAGGCTTCAGACCGCTGCAGTAGCATAGGCCATCGATGTACAGATTCGTCTGGGACAGTGTTGCCAGCTTTTATTGCTTTGGCAACTCTTAGCCAGGCTATACATAGCATAAAGATCATGTCATTGTCTCGGCATAATGAGGTGACTTTCAAGAGCCTTCTTTCTGCTTGGCCATGGCCTGAGCACAAGGTCCTGCGTGGATTCAGCAGCCATCGCACCGTTGGTTAGTTTTGGTCTCCTGGCCTGTAGGCGATGCCGTGCAAGTGTGAGGTAGACGAGATGCAACCTGTTGGGGCATGCTCAGGTCCTTGGACATCTGGCAGGCACACAACGCCTCGAGAGAATGAATAAAGGGTGTCCAGTCCAGGACTTGACTAGCATCATGGCATCATGCAGACCACAGTGACTACAGGAGCACATGCTGGAACTGACTCATCTTTATTATTGTTATTATTATTATTACTACTACTACTGCTACTACTACTATTTTTATTGTTATTATTACTATTATTATTACTATTATTACTATATTTAAATATATTATTATTATTGTTGTTATTATTGTTATTATTATTATTATTACTATTATTACTATTATTATTTTTATTGTCATTATTGTTATTGTTGTTATGATGGTTGTTGTTGCTGCTGTTGCTGCTGTTGATGCTGTTGCTGCTGTTGCTGCTGTTGCTGTTGCTGTTGCTGTTGCTGTTGCTGTTGCTGTTCTTGTTGTTGTTGCTGTTGTTGTTATATACACACATATTGATATATGCACATATACACATGCAGGTGTGGTATGTATTCATATATATATACATATATATATATATTTATTTATTTATTTATTTTATTTATTTATATTTGTATTTATATGTATCTAGAACTTGCTACATTAGGTCAACACCTCCCCGAAAAAATATAATGAAGAATGAGACCTACATAGGACAACAATATATTGCCTGGCCTAGTTGCCAGTTTACCATATGGTTAGACAGCATATAGCTACTCGTTACCAAATTCCCATGCCATAGATGGTCGCAATGAACTCGCTAGTGAATATAGATATCGACATACATCTCAAGGGAACACTCCAAAACATAACTAGCAAAATTTAGTCTGAGGCCTCAGCTCGCCCCAAGCCCTAAACCCTCAGAACCCTAAACCCTATAAACCCTATAAGCCCTATAATGAACCCTGAACCTAAACCCTAAACTCTAGAAGCCCTAAAAGCCCTAAGCCTTGCAGTTTCCAGGAACCAGCTTCCGGGTGCAGCCGCCCGCAGGGCCCCCGGACCCGGAGTCGGGAGAGCCTGCGGCCGCGCCGCCGCTCCAGGACAGGGAGTTCGGTGTTGTGCAGGGTCTTGGGGGTTTTTAGGGTCTTTGGGGGGTTTGGGGGTTTGGGGTTTTGGGGGTTTTAGGGTTTGGGGTTTTGGGGGTTTGGGGTTTTGGGTTTTGGGGGTTTGGGATTTTGGATTCAATGTGGTAGGGCTGAAGGTCGGGGTTTATAGGGTATAAGGTTTAGGCTTTCGGGTTCAGGTTTACAGGTTTTGGGCTTCAAAGTTCATATACAAGTATGAAAGGCAGTCGATTATAGTCGACGGGAATTCCGGGAAGGCGAACATATATTGTGAGAAGAGAGACTGGGCTGGTTTTCAAGGCGCCAGACCCTGAACCGAAGACCCTGTGGATAGACTAACCCCTCTAAATGGGCAGTTTGGGGTTTAGGACTTTGGGGGCATGGGAAGTCCCTGACCCACTACAGCACTATAGAGCTCGGTCGAAGCAATGTACATGCTGGCAGAACTTTAATGCGGAAGAGCAGGAAGAAGTGTCGACATGGTTGTCCGTGGGTTGTTGAGACTTCGGACTCCGCCTTCCAGCTTAAACCCTCAACCCCAAGCCCTCAACCCAGACCCAGAGCAAGAGAACCTAAAGCCCTGTGACCTAAAACTCAGAGGCATAGACGTCTAAGATGCGGATCCCGAACCTACGCGAGACGCGCGACACCCTCACAGCTTCCGAAATAATTCCCAATATTTCTCCTTGGGGCTCCTTTTGATAATCATAGCATACGATACAGAGCCCAAAACCCTATTCTAATCATCAAGGCCCCTACCCTAAACCCCCAGGTGCATACTATATAGGGCCCTAGGGGCTCTAGTACCCTATATAGTATAGGTACCTGGGGGGGGGGGGTAGGGCTACATTACCAAGACACCATGTTACCCCGCGGCCCAGGACTTCGATCCTAGCAGCCTAGTGCTGGCCCAGGCGCGTAAGTTTTCAGGTTCAGGTTTTTGCTTGTCTCTGTGATAAACGCACGAAGCGCCGCCTCAGAGTTGACTTGAGATCGAATCAAGCAAAGTATATTATCAAAACTCGAAACAGAAACGCTGGGGCTTCGGATAGTTACGACCCTGAGGAACACAATGAGTGTCTCTTCGGGTTAAGGGCTGCAGGGGCATTTTCTCGTTTGTGCCTGTTGTGGATGGTTCAGGTCTTCGGTGGCTACGATTCGATCTTCGTTGCTTCGGCTCTGTGTGTTTTGCGGTGTGCTGCTTGGGTGTTGATTGGTTTTGGTTTTATGGTGCACGGAGTTCACTCTTCGTCCAAGGCTAAATAGCTTGATGGAATTGATGTATGCAAGCAGGAGCAGGTATCGTGCCGATTTAGGGTTTGCCATCAGAGAGCGTCTCGGTCTTGGAGTTTGTGTAGACGCTTTTGCTGAGTGACTTCGAGTGCCTGGTGCAGGTCGAGGGTTGCAGGATAAAGTTTGTAGAGGCACTCGGAGGGAGGCATGGAAATGTGTCGGACTTTCAACACATCTTAGAGCTAGTGTGGGGGATGGCAAATCCGAGCTTTGCCAATGTGCACAAATCTTATAGTCATCGTCGGTCACAGGTTCGCATGGACGGGAGGCTCCCTTGTCCTGGAAGAATTGTGAGTGTGCAGGCCAAGCAGCCGCCCGCTGATGCACCAGCACAAATTGCAGCGGGCCAAGTACGTGGAGATGCATCTTTCTTTCGTTCTGCGACATCGACTTTCTGGTGTTTACAAGCAGGTCACGCTCTGATTCAGGTCCTCCTTGAAAAGGACGACATGCAGGCTTACTGCACGGAGGCCTATGGCCTACAGGACGGGGGCAGTCTAGTGACTCTAGTGCAGACTGGCTTCTGACGGAGTAGAGTGTGTGTATGTATGTATGTATATGTATATGTATGTGTAGATTTGTGTGTGTGTGTGCAGCATGTATATATATATACACACATATAGTTATCTATTTCAAAAACAGATATGGGCATGGGTATAGA